TTGGTTGTGGGCGGAACAGGAGACAAAAGAAGGAGTGGTGAGAAAGGGAAGAGTTCAGAGACTGCGAATAGCTTCAGTGAACACTGCAAGAACTGAACCTTTAGGCTCAGGATTTCCATAGTTTTTGAGAAACTTAGAATCCATGGAAATACAAGTAATCAAAATTAGAATAAGTAAGAGTGATGGCCACCTTATCTAAGAAATTTCCATTGATATTCAGTATGCTTTGTTTTTCTGTTCAATTATAAAAGAAGGTAATACCATACATAATTCCTCAAATCCAGTCACATCATCAATTTGTTTACAGCTTCTGGTGAGGTTGGCCTTGGTGCAGCAGCTTCGGGCCGCCTACGACTTAAGGTCAAAGGCGGCCGCGGCAGGGCGAGCGCGGAGACGGACTCAGCCGCCGCGCCGTGGTGGTAAGTCCTGGGGGGAGATTCCGGTTAGGGGGGGGGCAGGGACGGGAGGCACAGCTTTGTACTGTCACTACCAGGTCATGCCGGCATGTTCATTCTGGTATGGACCCAAAAGAGAAGGGTGGTTACGTGCGTCTGATTCAATCCAGGGTAGCCACCGGCTGGTGTTTAAAAAGAATGAACATGGCTTTATTTCTTGACAGGGGGCTTTTGGTCACTGGAGAGAAAGTTGCAGGACTTTTCAGTCTCAGCAGCTTGACATTAAAGAGATAGATAATCGGGGGCAGGGGGGAGCGGGGGGGCGGCATGTAGCTGCCCTGTGCGTGGTAGGATGTTTAGCGGCATCTCTGACTTCTACCCATAAGATGCCAGTTGTAAAAATTAAAAATATTTCCAGGTGCCTTTCCCCGCTTTCTCCATCGTTGTGGTCCCGTCCTCCCCCCTCTCCCCCTCAGACCTGTTACCTTTGCCTCTCTCTCTCTCCTAAGCTCCAAGGGCCCTTTTGCTTCTGTAACTGGTTTCCTGAGCCTAAGCAGCCCAGCTGGCTCACTTCTACTACCTCTGTCACTTTCTACATAAAATTTCTCTTATAATTGGGACCCCCCCCCCATATTGCCAGTTGATTGTATTTTGAACAAGCAGCACATGGGAAGGAGCTATCTACTACACCCCTGTTGTAGAGTAAGGTTTGAAGAGAAGGGGGACCAGTACATTTTCTAAATTAACCAGTAGACAAGGAGGTCTGACAGAACATTAAAATGGGCTTCAGATAATAACCTCTATATTCACCAATTTGAAAAAATTATATTTTGAGACATAAAGCTATTTTTTTAAATTAGTAAGATGAGAATCCAGAGTGGAATGATTTAAAAAGCTGTTGATGGCCCTAGCCAGTGGGCTCATTGGATAGAGCGTATGCCCGCAGACCGAAGGGTTCTGGGTTAGATTCCAGTCAAGGGCATGTACTTTGGTTGCAGGCTCGATACTTTGGCAGTACGGGAGGCAGCCAGTCGAGGTGTCTCACATCCATGTTTCTGTCTCTTCCTCTCCCTTCCAATCTCTAAAAATCAATGGAAAAATCCTCAAGTGAGGATTAACAACAACAAAAATAAAATTACTTCTAAAAATATATATAATAAGAAAAAAATAAATAAATAAGTAAAAATATATATAATAAGAAGCTGTTGATGATTTTGGGTGGTCAAGGTAAGGGAATTTTGAATAAGACTTTTATATCTACTGCATCAAGAATTTCATTGTGAGCCTGACTGGTGTTCTCAGTGGTTAGAGCGACATCCCAAGCACACAAGGATCTTGGGTTTGATTCCTGGTCAAGGGCATGTACCTGGGTTGCAGGTTCCATCCCTGGCCCCAGTTGGGGGTGTGCAGGAGGCAACCATTCCATGTGTCTCCCACATGGATGTTTATCTTTCCCTCCCTCCCCTAACCCAACCCCCCTCTCTTCCACTCTTTCTAAAAATCAATGGAAAAATATTCTCTGGTGAGGATTAACAAAAAAGAAAGAAAAAGAACTTTGTGAAAAATTAAGTAAATGGAGTATAAAGCATTTTATTTTTAATTGCCTAATTATATGGTACTTTCTAAGTACTTAGAACTGAAGACTGATAACTTAATAGTTTATAATATCTGAAAGATAATAAGTACTTGGAGAAGAAAACTACTAACACAAATAATTTGTGTTCTGGCCAGGGGGCTCTGTTGGTGGGAATGTTGTCCCACACACCAAAAGGTTGCTGATTCCATTCCCAGTCGGGGCACATACATAGGTTGCAGGTTCCATTCCAGGTCGGGAGTGTATGGAGGCAACAGGTCAATGTTTCTCTCTCTCTCTCTCTCATCTCAATAAAAATATATCTTGCAGTGAGGATTTTTTTAAAAAATGATGTGTATACCTCATAAACTTTAGAGAAATTGTTTTTATATTCTTACAAAACCAACTATATTTGAGATTTTGGAAAGCCAATCTAGCTTTTAAATATTAACAAATATGTTGCCATATGAAAGAATTTGTACATGGATTTTTTTCACCGCTTAAGAAAAACTGACACCTGTCTTTAGATTCAGATAGGTCTGAGTTTGAATCCTGCTCTACCCCTACTAGATGTGTGATCTTGAACTGCTTGTTTAATTTTCCTAAGCTTCAATTTCTACTCTATAAAGTGGGAATAATGGTATCTCTCCTTGGGCTGTCTAAAAAAAAACTCTAAGATATGGCAATAGGACTACCACAATGCCTGTCACATGCCACTTTAACTAATTTTAGTTGTTACGATAATAAATGGTCTATATCCTGATTGTCACACTAGAAACACTAATAAAATGTTCTAATAAAGAAATACAGAAGATTATAGTGTTACATGAGTGGGATCTAACAAGATAGGTAACTGAAAACTATATTTCTTTAGTTATTTGGTGTTGTTGGCCAATAATAGTTTTGAGTTTTTTAAGAAAAGAACTAGAAATCTTTTAAGGCTGGTATTATAAATGATATTCCAATACATACAGTTTAAAAAGCATGCTCTTTATTTTATGAGATCAAATTTTAGCCGTTACTTATGAAGCCAAATATTGAGAATAATGAGACCTAAGGGAGGACAAGCTCCCTGAATTCTACTTATGTATGACATTTGTAAACATATAATCAACTTCAGCATCTGATTTATTTTTGCATTTTGCTTGGTTGCACAGTATCAAGAAAATTTTGCTTTACCCAGACAAGGGGTTACCTATGTTAACTTTCTTTTTTTAAGTAGCTCTCTTTGAAATGGTAATCGTAGCAGCAGCAAATATTCTTTGAATGCTTGCTCTGCATCAGATTAAGACCTATGTGAGGATACTGAGGCATAGGGAATGTTAATTTGATCAAGGTCACTTGGTAAATGGAAGAACCAGTACAGTGGGGCCTTGACTTACGAGTTTAATTCGTTCCGTGACGGAGCTCATAACTCAAATTACTCGTATGTCAAATCATAAAGTGAACGAGTGAGACACTTGATGCTGGGCTGATTTTGTGGCGTTCACTGTGACGTTCGCTGCGCCAACTAGCGGTAGGGTATCTGAAGCTGGCTCGTAACCCGAATTTTAGCTCGCAACTCAAAGCAAAAAATTGGCTGAGAGACGGATCGTATCTCGAAAAACTCGTTAGTCGGGACACTCGTAAGTCAAGGCCCCACTGTATTTAAAATCTGGCAGTTCTCCCTCTAGTAAACAGCTTGCTTTCTTACAGCATTATACTAAATTGTCTTTTCTGTATTCTTCAATTAAATGGAGCCACATGTTTGGAAAAGTGAAATTTTGTTAGTCTGTTGAATCATGAACAATGCTGAATGGTTTCGCATTGTAAATACAAGGTTAAATAATTAAGATGCTCTTAAAATATAAGTGCTTCAAGAGCATTCTTGGAGAGCAGATTCATTTAAGCTACATTAACATTTTTGAGATTAGGTATACACACTTATTTAATTTTGTATAAGTAGACACATATACAGGCTTTAATTTATTTTCTTAAATCCAATGAAAAGCTACAACTTTGTTATTCAGTGACACATTTTTAAGAAGTTTGAATGTGTGCACAAAGATATGTGTACAAACATGCAAGTTAACCGACATTTACAATTTTACTCTTGGGATTTTCAAAGTAGTTAAATGAAATTTGAATTAAATGTTTGCAGAATCCCTATTTTTGGGTAGCTCAGAAAGTAGTTTGAATAGTACTTTCCATGGAGTGTGTAAAAGATTATCAGGTCTAAAAATAACCACTTCTGGTGTAATTTTAGGAAGTACCCAATGAATGACAGGAATTACCATTATCAGTTGACTTAGCCTCTTGCTCAAATTAGTATTTATAAGGTGCCAGAAGGAAGGTATAAGGTCAGTATTTTTAAGGTCACTGAAAAAACAGTATTTTTTTAAAATACATTTTTATTGATTTCAGAGAAGAAGGGAGAGGGAGAGAGAGAGAGAGAGAGAGAAACATCAATGATGAGGCAGAATCATTAATCAGCTGCCTCCTACTAAGGATCCAGCCCACAATCAGGTCCTTGACCGGAATCAAAACCCGGGCCCTTTAGTCCGCAGGCCTAAGTTCTATCCACTGAGCCAAACCAGCTGGGGTGGAACAGGTAGTATTTTGAGGGAAACCTTAGTGTTTTGGGACAAATCTGTTTAAGAATTTCTTGACTAAACACTAACAGGGTTGATTTTTCCATAATGGCTTTGGAAACCGATGGAATTTACCACGTTGCTTGAGGGCACTGACTTTATCTTTGCCATCATTGTACTCTTAGCACCTAGCATAAGGTAGTTACTTTTTACAAAATGTACTTGAAAGAGTTGCTTTTTAAGTGTTATTGACTTCAGAGAGGAGGGCGGAGAGAGGAAACATCAATGAGAATCATTGATTGGCTGCCTCTTGCACTCCCCCTACTGAGGATTGAGCTGGCAACTAGGGCTTGTGCCCCACTGGGAATCAAACTGTGACCTTCTGGTTCATAGGTCGATACTGAACCTCTGAGCCACCAGCTGGCTCTGCTATCTTTTTTTATTTGTTGAGGTTTTAAATTTGCCCTAATGTTTAAGAAAATTTATATTATACTTAATATTTGTGTTAGAGTAACTAAATTTGTCATTTTAGGGTAAAATATTTGGAGTACCTTTTAATGCATTGCCCCATTCTGTTGTACCAGAGTATGGACACATTCCAAGGTAAGCAAAGTTTGAAATGAATAAATATTTCAAAGTGGTGTTTGAATGTTTAAAAATAAATAGTTGATTGACTCACACATTTGTTTTGAATTAACAGATTTCATTTCTCAGTAGTAATGTAAAAAAAAAATTTACTTAAACTTTCACATATTTTAACTTTAATTTTTACTTACTCCCAGGATTGAATTTTAAGGTTTAGTAATGAGTAAATGTTAGAGAGCAAATTATTTTTGTTCTATTAAATTAGAGATTTCAGATCTATACCAATTCTTTTGCCACAATTCTGATTATATTCAGTAATATACTGAATTACCAATACAGCTAAAATATTGATATTTATATTTTAGAAAAGTTGGGTAAAAGAATATTATGCTAAGATATTAGCGTATTTGTGAATATAAATTACATACCTTGAACTTTTTAATGTTGTTTACTATTTATAAATAATCTTTTGGACTAACTGGATCAGAAATTACTAGGTAAGTTTACATCTTAAGAAAATAGTTTAAATGCATTTAAAGAAACTGTTTTAGCTCTCTCTAATTATTTTTCCCTCTGTCCAAAGTAGGGTTCATTCTGCCCACTCTAGTCTAGTAACCTGGGTTTTTAATTGATGCATTGTCCAAAAGCACTTACTGAGTACCTTGCTACCTTAGAATCATTTTCCCTCAGATAATAGGTGTAGATTCATAATCTTCATTAAGGTTTCCACTTAGTATTTTGCTTTTTAAATAATCTGCAAAGGTTTGTTTATACGGATTTTCAACATTTAGAATGGCAAATGCTAATAATGACTACATCTTTGTCATAATTTTTTGCGTGCTAAAAGAAACAAACTACTCTGTCAGTTACCCTCTGCAATGTTTAGTCACTGTGCACCAATGCAACTTTTATCAGTTGCTTACAGCTGATACCCATTCTAATTTATTGGTACCAGCTGTTAACTAAGCATCTAAAACTACCATTGGTTGTTAGAAATTGTTCAATGTAAAAATTGAGCACACACCTTTAAATATGAAAAAGATTGTAAGGACTGGGGTGTATTTGATTTTCTGAGAGATAATGTTAGAGTGAGAAAAAAAAACACCTTGCCTTATTTTGGGGGAAATGTAGTAAGTAGATGGTAGATATTTTAAGCTGTGTATGCTGTGCAAGATCCCACATGGGGAGAGAATGAAGAAAAGAAGGCCTTGGAGCCTTGAGTCATCCTAGCATGTAGAGGGCTGGAAGAAAAAGAGGATCCAGAAAAGGAGTTTGAGAAGAAGCAGTCAGGGAGTCAGTAGGAAAACCAGAAGAGTGAAAAAGTATTTTTAAAATGATCTGGGAGTGGTCAAGTGTGTTATGCTGGTAGGACAAACAAGATGAAGACAATGAATTTACCATGGATTTGGCAAGGCAGAGGCCATTGGTGACTCTGAGAGCGCTTTTTTTTTTTTTTGGAGTAATGGCTATGAGAGTCTGATTGGAGAGGGTGGAGGAGAGACTGGGATATGAAGGAAGGTAGATTAGAGGCAGTGCAAAAGACAAGTCCTGTGCTCTGAGTGAAAGCAGAGAAACAGAGGATTGAGAAGGATGTAGGTTAAGTGGGTTTACTGAAGTTGTCATGGGTAAAATGGTGGTTCCTAGAGAGGAATTTAGGAAGCAAGTGGCCTTTTATCACAGATTAAAGGGATTTGTAGCATCAGAGCTTCTGTAAGGGGTATAGTGCCTGGTCTGCTCCTGTACTTTGGCAGAATAATGGGATTTAGAAAGGTGTGTTCTGGCCACCTGAAAAGATTTCTCTGTTTCAGTTTTCTTGTTGATGCTTGCACATCTCTAGAAGAGCATATTCATACAGAAGGGCTTTTTAGGAAATCAGGATCTGTTATTCGTCTAAAAGCGTTAAAGGTAAGCATATTCTTAAACTGTCATTTTTCTTTTGTGCCATATTTTTGGTGTGGTTTTGTGATTGAACTATGTAGAAGTATAACATGAATTATTGACAGAAATTGAATTTGAAAATAGCTTTTTTCATGGCAGAGGAACTTTTTTCCAAAAGAAAGTAAATCATTTCTGTAATGCTCTTCCCCCCACCCTGTTTTATTGAGGTATAATTCACCAGTACATTTAGGATGTACAACTTGATGTTTTGATTTACATATACATTGTGAAATCACCACAATCAAGCTGTTTATAAAATGCTTTGAACATGGCAAGTTTAAAATTCATGGTCCTAGTTTCTATAAATGAAAAAAAGTTTTTTTATTATTTTTAGCCTTCTGAAAAGGAGATATATTAAAATAATAGTTAAAAGAAATTTATTTTAAAAAGCTCTTGTACAAGAAAGGATAGTTTATTTGCAATATACTCCTAA